GAAGGATTTTGGAGGCACAATCATATGTAACAATAACTACAATAATAGGTTAACATTTGTTTTTAATATGGGAATGACAATTCATTAGTATTCATTATTATATATGTTACTTCAACTTCAAAAGAACCAAATTAGTGAAAAACTAGTTTTTACTATGGCAACTTACCTACCATGGCTTTGAACCCAGAACTTCTTTATCTCAAAGCCAATGATACTGAAGAAGAAAAAAAAAAAAAGACTGAGAGTCATACGGTTTCAGGTCCCGTTGGGCTAAGAAATACAGAGGTCAGGGGAGCAGGTCTGGGGCTCAGACAGTCCCAGTTGAAATTCTTGCCCCGCCATCCATCCCAGCGTGACCTGTAATTCACTCGGCCTCCCTGTACGGGGTGGAGTTATGATTCACAAGCAACAGAAAGTGAGTATGGTCAATTTAAGCAGGAAAGAAATGTATCAGAGAGACCACCAGCCACACAGAACCGATGGGGAAGCTGGCGGCACCACAGAGGTGTGCCTCAGCCGGCAGCCACCACTACTGCAGGAAGCCTCAGCACCACCGTCCCCAGAGGCCGTGCAGTCTGTTTTAAAATGACAATTTGCTCATCTGTAAAATGGACACATGACCATGTGGTACCTTCCTCAGAGCTCTGTTGTGAGGATTAGATAAAGAAGGCACATGTATAAAGCATTCAGTACTATGTCTCACACAGACTAAGCATTGGATACATTCCAGCTGGTCTTACTAATTGTGTCTTTGAGCAAGTCACATCCCTCTTTTTCGCCTGCCTTGTCATTACGGAAGATAGAGGATCCCAATCATACTGTATGAGTCCTAGGCTAACTGCTGAAACGAGCAGCCCCTCAAGTCTAAGTGGATTCTCTTCCACTTCATGAACATCAGTGGCATTGGAATGCAGGCATTCAGAGATCCAGTTACCTTCTGTCTAATGGGTCTTGCAATACACTGGGGCCTTGACTCTTACTGGCAGAAGAAGGCAGACAGAGAGAGCACCTCCGAGGGTTGGGGTCGTTGAAGGACCAGGCCTGGCAGTGACACACATCACTTCCACCTGGATTCCACTGGCTGGAACCCAGTCGCACCAGCTTCACATAACCACAGGAAGTATGAGAAATAGCACCCAGCTATGTGGTCAAGAAGAAATGGAGACAGGGCTTGGTGAAACATGGCGGTCTGCATCACACCTGCCCGACGCCCTCAGGAGGTTGCTAATAAGATCCTAGCGAGTGTGAAAATGCTGTGGAAAGTGATTAACAAGCTACAGATGGTGGCAGTGTGGTTGATTAAACCAGGGAGTCCACTGTATTTTCTGAAGTGCTAAAATACACAGCAATGCGGTGGGGGGAGGGTGCAGTCAGAAGAAACTGAAATATAATCAGAATGTTCATCATCCTGTAAAAGATCCCTCTGAACTCATAAGGCTTCATCTCTCCACCTGTACCTTCAGAAATGAGCAACATTTGGGTTGCAGATTAGACCCCCAGTCTGGGTACCTAAGATCCCCAGTCCTCGTGCATACGGGACGCAACCAATCGATGCTTCTCTCTCCCATGGATGTTTCTCTTTCTCCCCTCCTGTCACCCTAAAAGCAAAGAAAAAATGTCCTTGGGGAGGATTAGCAAATGAGCAATAATAAGTAAAGAATCCCTTTCTTTGCTCATTAGCTCAGTCCACAATGAGTGTGCAGTGGAAATATTTGTTTGGAGAAAAAAGGAGGAAAGAATAAAAGGGAAGGAAGCCATCACTTCAAAGAGTGCAATTGCCAGAGAAAGAGGCAGCCTGACGCCATCACTTGGTGGCAACCAACCTTCCCCGCCAAAACTTATCACCACATGGAGATGTCGGGGAGTTAATCACAGTACTGACATGTGTAACAACTCCATGCCCTGGACTCAGCATAAAATTCATGCTTAGAAAATGAAAATTATCAGGAGACCACACAGTCGACATGCACCACTAAAATGGGAGGGCAGTCATCAGAGCCACAGACACAATCACACACCTCTTTTCATGTCCAAGGTCAGCTGAATGGCATGCTTGCAATCCCCAGAACCAACTGGGTGAGCATATGCAAGGTGAAGGTGTCCAAGGCCACCGTGTCATTTGGACCAGAGAGATGCCTTGGTCACTAGGTTTTGAGTATCGCATGGCTGGCCTGTTGTGCAAGACAGAGAGCAGACCGTTTGCACAGGTGCTGCTCCCTGGATGTTTTCAGAGTTTTCGGAATGATCTAAGACACGGCCACCTTTGGTTTAGTAAAGGGTCCAGGCCAGATCTGGTTCGCCCAGCTAGCTGCCTTCCTCCCGGCAATGATCACCTTTCTTATCCCTTCCTCTGCCCCAACGACAATTCGACCTAGTCAAAGGGAGCGTGTTTTGGCCTCACCTTATGGTTTTCACTCAGAAGAGTGGCCAAACCATTAGCCAGGAGAGAGCAATCAAACTGGTAAGTCAGGCCATTCTTGGACGAGTTCAAGCCTTCAGAGAAGATTTCACGACAAATCTAAGGAACTGAACCAAGGTCTTCCAGTTCAGAGAAGTGGGGATTGATGTGGAAACTCCGGGGGGGGAGGAGGGATGGAAAGCAATGTTTAGAATAAAAGCTTCTTCATTGAAAATATACAAACAGTGACAGAATGTTTCCACATAATCGCAGCAATGCTTCATTCCCTTCTGCAATGAGTGCGCGGGAAATGGAACGGCACTGCCCCAGCTGCTCAGATGAAGGCTCGTTTCCCAAATCTTTCACCTCTGCTCCCGAAGGCTAAACTGAAGCTCTGAGAATCATGCACCAAAAGAGGATGAAGGTGAACCTCATTGCATTTTTTTCAGTCTTGTGTATCTTCATCTCCCTAAAGCTATTGTGGGGGAAAAAAATAAAGGGCTAAGAAGAAAAACACCTCCATCAGTAACAAGTGCAGTTTGTCAGTGGCATGCTAAAACCCATATATTCTACTCTCTCACGTAACTGTGTAATTATCTCAGCAGTGTGCCTCAATTTTTATACTTAATATACTCTATCATGATAAATGAACAAGTACCAGTCCTAATCGTTTACCATTTTAGGAACTTCAAATGGGAAAATAAAACTGTAAAGATATTTCTATTAGCAGAAGTTCCCACCTCCCCTTGGCCGACTTACTGACAACCGCCTGACAGGGTGTCGGTGACGCAATGTGGTTAGGGAAGAAGGGGGGTAGAAGGTGCGGTTTCCTTTTTCTAGAGTTGATTTGTTTTCAGCGTGACACGATCGGAGAATCCCCTCCTGAAAAGAGGCCCAGGCAACAGAAATGGGCCTACTGGTGGTGAGGAGAAGACCCTGAGAAATGGGCTGATCGCCAGCCTTCTTCGTACATTGCCTAACATGTGTTTTTGTTTCTGAATCCCCGACAGTCATGAGGAAATAGGGTAAACAAGAGAATGATGCTGTTTTAATTCGTACACACAATGCCTTACACAAGTCAGTGTGAGTCTGGGTAGCTAGTGTCCTGTCCTTGACACCTGAATGTCCTCTGTGTTTACCTTTCTCGTTTGTTACCGTGCCACTTGAGAATAACTGCAGAACCAGCTATATTCTTGGGTTTGTTCACTCATGAAATAACATTCAAAGCCTCAGTGCCTGCTTATTACATACAGAAAGCGAGTTTTTTGCCCTGTGAGGAAAGACAATATATTAAAATGTGTGTATAGGGCCCAAGGAAAGAGGTTCTTCTAGGGATTGAAGTTGTGTGAAGGCCCTCACGGTCTCACTTCATGGTTTTAAAAATTAGTGAAACTGTTTTAATAACACCATAAGTTTTCATAATCTTTTTTTTTCTTTTTTTTTAGTTCTGATTTTAGGAAATAGATTAGGAACTGAATAATGAGTATACAAAAAAAGTGTTCCCTCGGTAAAAGAAATCAAACGATGATTCAAAGAAAGAAGGTAGAGGAAATTGGCTTTTCCAAGAGTCACTCATGGAGCTACTGACGGGAGAATTCCTTTGCTCTCAGGAGTTTCAAATCCCTGTCTCACCCCGCATCAGCCTTTCAAAGGACTCACGGTGAAGGTGTCTAACGCGAATACTGAAGGGCAGAGGCCCCACGCTCAGCCTAACCGCTCCTACAAGGGCGGAGCTCCCGGGAGGAGGAGAAAGATCTGGCGGTTACACCGACCGCCTTCCCACGCTAACTCCCCCACGTGGTCCTTGCGGGCCACCTCTCCACAGCTGCAGGGCTCTGCCACCTGCGCCCGGAGAGGCTGCTGCCCCGTCCCCTTTTATCCCTGGGGCTGGCCTACGGAGCGAGGCCGACAGCCTGCGAACTGCCAACAAACCCCCGCTTGTGGTGAGAGGATGACTTCGGTTCTTCCCCGCCCAATCGGGGTACCCAGCCGCCATCCACCCACCCTGTCCGTCGTGCGCACACTGCTTCTAACCCGAGGCTCCCGCGCGCGCACACACACACACACCTCTGCCGCTCCAGGTGGGGTCCTAAAGCATTGGACCCCCTATCCCAGCAACCAGATGTTGCGACCCGCGTGTACAAGTGCGAGAAATAGCCCACTCGGGGCGGGGGCAGTGAGTAGGGACCCCGGTTTCAGAAGTGACTCCCAGGATGAGGAGTTCAAAAGGGAGAGGAGGACGCGTGCCGGCAGCGCACTGGGGCTTCCCAGCGTCTCGGGCCCCCGCAGCCACTCGGCCCCGAGCCCCGCCCGCCCCGGCCCCGCCACCCGGCGGCGCGGAGGAGGGCGCGCCCCGCCCCTGCCGCGGGGCGCCAATGGGCGCCCGGGCCGCGCGCCGAGTGTCCCCGCCTCCGCAGGGAAACTTGAAGCCAGAGAAAAGTTTGTACTAAGAGCGGCTGGAACGGCAGGAGCGGAGCTCGAAACCCGGCCGCCGGAGAGGAAGAAGATGAGCGGTCCCAGGTCAGAGCCTCGGGCCCAGTGGACGTCGAGCAGCCCCCAGGGATCCAGAGGCAGCCGCAGTGGCAGCCGCCAGCCCCGGTAGCCGCCCGCGCTGCCCAGGACTGCGGAGGAGCCTGCGCTAGTGGCGTCTCCGCCGAGTCCCCGAGGCTCGGTGCCACCTGCGCGCCTCCCCGCGCGCCTGAAGGCTGTCCGCCCGCGAACAGGACCAGCGGGCTCCACGAAGCTTGGATCCTCTTTGAAAGCACGGAAAAATAGGGGAGAAAAAAGAACCCCAAGAGCAGGCTTCCCCAGCCCATACCCGCTGCCCTTCCAGTTCCCCAAGTTTTTGAAAGCTGGCCACTCTGACCCCGGTTCCAGAAAATTGGCAGCCACCGCGACCTGGGTCCGAGAAGGCGAACACTCCACAAGCTCCCAGATACAGCGGGGCGAGACTGAGGGCGGGTTGGAAGCGTGTCCCGCACATCCGAGGCTTGACGCTGGGCGCTCACGCGGCTGCCACCGCAGGGGCCACTACAGGTGAGATGGGCTTGGGGACACTGGGCAGAGAGCAGTGGGTGGGCGCCCCTGGAGAGGAGCCAGGGAGGAGAAGGCGCGCTCTCCAAATTGTCTTTCATAACTTGTTTTCAGTGAGGGTATCATTGACTCAGAATCTGTCGGGAATTAGAGCGAGCCACTTTTCCCTTGAGATAGGTCTTGTTCGGTTTGGCAGCCAAGTGAAGTTGGGGTGAGGGCGGGGAGAAAGGCAGGATCAACTTATAAATATTAATGCGAGTTGAGTGGTGCTGCGGGCAGGACGTTACCCGGAGCTTGAAGCTCCGGGTAGCCGCAGCTGGCAAGTGGCTACAATCCCCAAAGTAGGATCGAACTGTTCCCCTCGTCTCATCAGCAGATTGTTTCTTGGGCGCGGGTGTGACGCTTTGCAAGTGGTATTTCGGCTCACAGAGCCTGTGTCTTTTTCCACCATCCTCAGACCCAGCCTCGCACTTCAAGGCCGCCTACCGCTGGCCATCACCATGTCCACCCCCGCGGCCAATGCGTCTGCCTTCTTGCTCACGAACAGCCCGAACAGCCCGGTGACCATCCCAGCGGTGATGTTCATCTTCGGGGTGGTGGGCAACCTGGTGGCCATCGTGGTGCTATGCAAATCGCGCAAGGAGCAGAAGGAGACGACCTTCTACACCTTGGTGTGCGGGCTGGCGGTCACCGACCTGCTGGGCACGTTGCTGGTGAGCCCAGTGACCATCGCCACCTACATGAAGGGCCAGTGGCCCGGCGGCCAGCCTCTGTGCGAGTACAGCACCTTCATCCTGCTCTTTTTCGGCCTGTCGGGCCTCAGCATCATCTGTGCCATGAGCATCGAGCGCTACCTGGCCATCAACCACGCCTACTTCTACAGCCACTACGTGGACAAGCGGCTGGCGGGCCTCACGCTCTTCGCGGTCTACGCGTCCAACGTGCTCTTCTGCGCGCTGCCCAACATGGGCCTGGGGAGCTCGCGGCTGCAGTACCCGGAGACCTGGTGCTTCATCGACTGGACCACCAACGTGACGGCGCACGCCGCCTTCTCCTACATGTACGCGGGCTTCAGCTCCTTCCTCATCCTCGCCACCGTGCTCTGCAACGTGCTGGTGTGCGGCGCGCTGCTCCGCATGCACCGCCAGTTCATGCGCCGCACCTCGCTGGGCACCGACCAGCACCACGCTGTCACCGCCGCGGTAGCCTTCGCCTCCACCGCCAGCCGGGGCCACCCGGCCACCGCCTCCCCCGCCCTGCCGCGCCTCAGCGACTTTCGCCGCCGCCGGAGCTTCCGCCGCATCGCGGGCGCCGAGATCCAGATGGTCATCTTACTCATCGCCACCTCCCTGGTGGTGCTCATCTGCTCCATCCCGCTCGTGGTGAGTGGCCGGGGCTGGGGTCCCATTCGGCCCACCCCTGCACCCACCTCCATCCTTTGCCTCCCGCTTCTGCCCCTCCCCCCACTTGCTTTGTTCCTTGGCGAGGTGTCTTTGGGTATCAGCTCCAGGTCGGGGCTGGGATCCCCACACTTTGCTTTCCACAGCAGGCTCAAGTTCCTTTCAGGACGCGTCCCAAACGTGACACGGTCGCAGGTGCTTCCCGAAGGCCTGATTTCCTTTCACTCCTGGGACAGCCCCTATCCCTTGCTGCCTGACATTGACCTTGAGCCTTCCGGAACCCCCGCCTCTCTGTCAGATGTGGAGAGGAAACCAACAGTGTGACAGCCCTGTGACCCACACTGTGAAGAGCAGAATCCCAAACATCAGGGGTGCTGGTCTCTGATGTACACTATTCCTTAGGGTGGTGGGGCTTGGGGTATTTTGATTTAGGTAGGGTTTGGGGGTAGATTCTGTAGAATTTTAGACCTAGAAGACTAATGCATATCTAGTCTAGTCTACCTCCCTCACTTTACATGGGAAGTGACCTGCGTAAAATAATCTAGCAGAACCCCACTGTGGAGCTGGATTCCCTGCTCGCTACCGTGCGGTACCCCAGAAGCACACCTCGGTGCACCTGTGGGCTATACTCCTGCACAGGGGCCACCTGGACTCAGGTTCCTTCACTCTCCATAGGCTCAGGAAAGCAAGGTTTCCCGGGGGCCCACTCCAGGCAGCCTGCCGGACCTGGGCTGTTGAATTTGCACCCGAACAACTGTGAGGTACAGTGCCATCCTAGAGATACCATGCGTTAGATGGTCGTCTTATTTACTGTCGGTCCCAACTCTGCAGCTGGTGATGAAACCCACACCTCTCTGCCTCCAAACCCTGCTCTTACAGCCTGTCTCCCTTCTAGAACACTTCTAACTCTGGCCTTTGGACGGTGTGTGTACTTGGGTACACTTGGCTTGTAGGACATCACCTTCCTGAAAATTGCCTCTGCATTAACTTTTAAAATGTTATAAGCAGAAAAGTTGAAAACCTGCCTAGTTCTCCTCTACTTTGCCTGTCGGTAAAATGGGATGCCCTGGGAGCCAATGGGCAGAGGCACATAACACTTTACCTAGAGTTTCCCTTACAAGTAACTACTTCGGAGTTTTCTCACCTCTCAAAACACTGCATTCCTGGAAATTCTAAGCTATGAACTCAAAAAGAGATGACTTCTCTTTCTTGTGCTTATTGGGAGGGAGCCAGAGAAAATAAGTGTGATGGGTTCCTATGCCTTTCTTTCCCTTATTAATTCTGCCCAGGGATGTTGAACATAAAGATATTATATCTCTGATAAAGGCAACTGTAAATGGAAGGAACTTGGAAGTGGCTGAGAGTCAGCATACAGTAGCTTCTTGCCGATTTGTAGAAACAGAACTAAATATAACTGGCCAGAGGGGCCTTTAAAGCACTCGAGGACCCAATGTAACTCAGAGAGTTAAGTCACACTTGAGCCACATGAATGCATTTTACCGTGTGTAACGGCAACTCAGAATAAAGTGGGGTTTTGGAAGTCACAATGCAGCCCTGCTGGAACTCCCTGCCTTGGCCTCTGCCTTGTGTTGTACAGAACCATTAATGACGGCGTGAGGGGCTGGTATTCACAGACCATCCACTTCAAGGAAGAGAGGGATTAGACTAGAAGGTCAGCAAGGTGCACGTACTTTTTAAACGTATTTTGGTTGGAGGTAAGCGTGTGGAGCTATTGATTACTTCCCATTCACGGGTGAACTGTTTTCTTCCAGCATCTAGAGAGACACAAAATGCTTAATTCATCCTGTGGGCTGAAGGGGCAGCCCTGGCTCGGTGGTGCGGGGCCAATTTTTACAAAGCCTCTGAAATTATTGGAGAAGCTGGAGGCAAGAAAGTACAGGAGCTGTGTTTGTGGTTTACAAATTCACCACCATCTAAGTAACAGATACTGTCCACTCTGTAGAAGGTCCTTAGTGGGTCGTAGGCATTAAGTAATTTTACCCTGAAAACCGAAACCGGCTCAGCTAAGAAGCAAACACACAGTGAGGTTTTGAATACCTCTGTAAGTGATATGCAATCAGACAAGTGATCATAGCTTCCGATTTTGGTCTTTAGATTTGGTTACCAAAATCTCATTTCAGAATCTCATTAATTAACAATTAATGACATACGATAATGATAGGCATTATTACTCCCCACCTACCCACCCCCAGTTCAGCAATTACTGAAAGAATTAAAAGGGAAACTCATCCACAGCTATAATCTTTTTTGGCTTCTACTTCCAACTTTCTTGTTTTTTCATGTTACTCATATTCATAGTGTAATTTAAGCTTAAAACTTTCTGAACTCTGACTTATAAATCAGTTGGCCGATCTTCAGATCCAAAAACACTGAGGAAGCATCTTTTTTCTTTAACTTGATCAGGTCAGGTTGGTTTGCTAATCCTGTTTAAGGAAAATCAAACCCTTTGGAGCATTTTAAAGGCTTGGAAAGGCTAGTAGAGCTAATACAGTTTACTTGGAATTTCAGAAAGCTGGACACAGTCACTGCAGAACAGCCAAGTTCTCGTCTCTTGGACACCAGCGAACAGGAAGCCCCAGGGGCTCTTCGAGAGCAGTTGATCTAGAGTTCAGGATAAAAAGCAAATATTACTTTGTTATCCAAATTATGTCTGCCTCATAAATAGAGCTCGGATTGGAAATGAGAAAAGTTGGGAGATTAGTTATGGGTCTAAGGAACTGTGCTGCTCTTGCAGGAGTTTCTAAAAGTGACTCATAATCACCTAACAGAAGGTGTGAGTACAATCTACAAAGCAACATTACGAGACGCGATTTAGTGGGAAGGTGCTTCTTGTCTACCAGTTTCTGTTTTTGTTTTGTAAGTACAGGAGACGCTGAAGAAATGAAAGAGTCTACACTTAAGAGAAATAAGAGGGATTGTATTCTCTAGAAATATGTAAGCAAGGCAGCCTCATAAGGTCCGGGGTTAAGTGCTGTAGCTTAGACCAGCGCTGGTGCCCACGCCTGCCAGTACTAGTGTTAAGATAACAGTGATTATCACATCTCCACCCCTCAGAACTAAATAGTCACACTACAGGATCTGGAAAGGTACCCCCCCCCCGCCTCCCACCCACGCGAGCACTGTGCATTCATTGTTTATTTGCTTCTTTTCTTTCTTCTTACTCTGAAGTAACCAATATTCATCTCTGTTAGGGGTAAAATGGCCAGTTTGATTAATCATCTGCCTGAAACTTAGGTCTTTAGGAAAAGAGCTTCCCCTGAGTGTTTTGGGCTGCGCACCGTAAACTGGTGGTCTGGGTAAAGCCCTCCCCAGCACTGATTAGCAAAGGTGCACCAGGGCAGGAGGCCTCGAAGATACATGTCTGTCCTGCGGGCAAAGTAGAAATGGGGTCCTCAGACTCCTGATGGGCTTTCGGATGGATGCAACCCACAGCTTTAGGTACAGGAGTGCCACAGATGTGGGTACCATTACAGCAGAACCTGAAGGATCGCATGCTTTTTCAAATATACTGAGCTGAGTTTTAAAATATAGCAACTCCTAAAAGCAGTTTTTTAAGCCATGACCCAGCACTGCAGATGCCTTTGTTGCACCTTGAAGACTGTGGAATAACATAAAAGTGTTTCCACATCTGGCATCTCATTGAAAAAGGCTGTAGGAAAAAATAGGGCTGGTCGGTATTTTCACTCTCTGTGCACCTCAGTTTCCTCAGCTGCAGGTGGAGAATTTCTATTATCGCGCACCTCCCTGGGCGGCTGCGGGTGAGCCCTAGTCTGATGCACTTTTTACCACACGTGGGTCCCTCCTTTGATGTGCTCGGAACGGAACAAGCAGACATGCATGCACAAATCCAGCCCCAGGGTCTTGTCACTTACTGAAAAGCATTTCTACCTGGACAGTCAATTACTAAAAATCAGTTCCATTGAGACTTCAGCATTCTTTTTCAATTAGACACTCCCTGCCGAGCGATTGTTCTTAAACAGGAAGTACGTGTTTTTGATACCGTGTCATTACTGTACCCGAAAGCTACCTCTGTGCTGTGGTTTTCACATTCTTGATATATTATTCCACGGCAACCAAGCAGCTACGTATGGGTCAGCAAAAGAGGGATGGCAGCCAACCAATACCTTATATGTTAGCCATTTTACTAAGCGCTTTCATAATTTCTACATAAGTTACAAGGAGCAGAGCCAGGATCTGAATAGTACAACCTGAATACAGGTTGTTTGAAGTTCGGGCATTTAACTCTACAGCAAACAGCCTCCTCCTACCTTTCTACCGTCACATCCTTTGTTAAAGTTCTCACATTTTCTCCTGCACCCTCACCTCTAGTCATCCTCAAGAAGTTGAGAATATTGTAAGGTAGGCAAGTATGAGCAGTAAACTACCTGTGCAAGTCCTCAGCTATTAAGGAAATAGACTCACTTTTAAAATTGCAAGAGACTATGCATGTTGTTTGTTTTCAGTGAAGATTTCATGGTGTTTTCCCCGCCCCCTGACTCGGAGGTTCCGTTTTTAGCAGCAGCACGCTCTCCGCTCTCACACTGCCGCTGAAAACTGCCTGGACGGGTTTGCCTGTGTAGCATTAGGGCCCCTTGGACAAGAAAGCAAGAGAAGTGCTGTCTTCGCCTACCCAGGTGACACTGCTGGGGTGTCCCCCAAAGAGGGACCTGTGGGGTATCCCTCTTTGGAAAGAGCAAGTCAAGTATCCTTTACAGGGAGGCAGAAATTGCTCTACTTTCTTAAATATTACAAAGTGCATGGAGCTTACTTTCATTTTTGCCTTTTTTTTGGACATCAAATGAATCTCCACTGAGAAGATGCTACAAAGCCTAACTACTCATCATCCTGATGATTTTCAAATAACTTAACCAACTTTTGAGAATTTTTTTTTACCTGAATTGGGGCTGTTGCTTTTTCTACTCATCTTTTTGCCACCCTGGGAACTCCCCATTGCTGAAATGGTAACAGGGACCAGGCCCGGAGCCTGGTGTTAATTGCACACCTCCCCTCCCCCACCCAACCCCACCCATTATGGAATTCTAAAATAGGGCTTTCTCAGTTTCCTGCCCTTATCTGCCTGAGAGCAGGGCATAAATTTCCCTTCATGAAGGTGGCGTGAATTTTCCTCCCTCCCCCCATTCCCCCCCAGGCCCAGGAAGAGAAGAATGAGCCTTATCACGAAGACAGAGCCAACACCAAGATGAGTGTGCTCAAACCTCACTTTACAATAATAATAATATAATAACAACTTATCTTCCACTAGCTCCCCCATGCATCCCTAGTTACTGCCCCACATTGACCTCCCTGGAAGCCCAAAGCCTCTCTTCTTTATTGAGAAGGGTGTACAAGGGTGTACGAGCTTTTTTTAGTTACTTTTTTGTGAACTCCCATGCATGTTAAAAATACTAATAAACTTGTATCCTTTACTCCTGTCAAAACAAGTAAGTAAATTGTATTAAATAGGGCTTCCTTTCACTTCCTTCTACAGTATTCAAAATTAATTACTGCTGTGGACAAACTAAGGCTCAAAAATTATTCTTTCCTTGCCTGTCATCATCTTGGATTATGAAACATTATTAGTGTTTTTACAATGCTCTGACTTTTCTTAAAAAAGGCCCTAAAATTTTTAAAATAAAATGCTAACCTTTAATACATTCCTTTAAATACCTACAAATTTCATTCCTTTTATATCCATTGTAACTGTCCAAAAATTCTCTTCCTTTCATTAGTAACCATGTTTTCTCTGAGGTAGTGGAGGGAGAAGTAACCGGCAACAAAACATCTAAAGGTTAAAATATCAGAAATGCCAAGTTCTGACTTAACCAAGATTCTGTTCTGAAGAGTCTTTGAAATGGCTGGGTGACATGTTCTTAGGAAGGTTCTTGGGAACCAGAAAGTCCCAAGTGGAGCAACACTGCCCCCTGGAGGCTGCAAGTCTCAAGTTCTAGTAAACCTTGCCACAGGTTTTTTTCCCAGAGCCTATGAACACACAGAAGAGAAGGCCTGGTTTAATCCCTCATTTCTTTTATCCTTAGGAACATAGTATGTGATGTGAGTAAAATAGAAACCTCATGCTTTTTATCAGTAATTCCATCTCCAGCAAAAAAAAAACAAACAAACTGTTAAACAGAAAGCAGGCCAGCTTGGTAAAACAGAAAGAGCAATGTGGGCGTCATCTGGAGACCAGGCCCACAACAGAGTGGGGGGGGGCCTTGGTCAGTTCCTCAAAGCCTCTAGGTCTCAGCGACATTTCCTGAGTGAGATAAACCCCTCAGTGTCCAGACACAGCAGAGAACCTCAGTAGAGGTGATGGTAGCAAGAAACCGGGATGCCTCACTTAAGCCATCCCTGGCCAGTGGGTCTGTGGGCGGGCCCAGGTGCCCCTCGACTTAAATAGCTCAAACGGCAACGGCGTGAGTCGTCATCCCGACTGCTGTGTCCAGAGGGCTCTGTGAGCTCTTGGCCACTCACCAGCTCCAATGCTATTCCAGGGACAAAGGCAGGATTCTGAGTGGAGTTTCAGGATGGAGTCAGTGAGCTGAGTTGTTGAGCAAAACCACGATTCACAAGCAGCGGGGAGGCACTGGAGTGGCTGAGCTGCATTCTAGAAACCGCCTCCCTGCTCTGGCTGGTGTAGCTCAGTGGACTGAGCCTGGGCTGTGAACTAGAAGGTCATCAGTTCCATTCCCGGTCAGGGCACACGCCTGGGTTGCGGGCCAGGTCCCCAGGTGGGGTCACATGAGAGGCAACCACACATTGATGTCTCTCTCCCTTTTTCTCCCTCCCTTCCCCTCTCTCTAAAAATAAATAAATAAGATCTTAAAAAAAGATTAACAAGTATTATAATGAAAGTATAGCTAACACTAGAAAGTTAAACATTATGAAAGATCCTGTTTTTTTAAAAAAATTAAAAAATAGGATGGACAGGGGAGCAATCGAACCTGAGCAATCGAACCATCAGTTTCATGGCTGATGCAACAAATCAGATGAGAAATGCAGGTAGAGGTAAAAGACTGGAACTGGATTTTTAAAGGAAGAGGAGTTTATTATGCCTGGGGAAAAGACACACAGGAAAAATGGAAACGTCACTGGTCATTCTGGATGACAGGACATTCAGATGTTGGCTGTTTCCACACTCTCTCTAGACACTGCAATAAGGGAATGTCTGGGCACTTCTGTGGTGACTGGATGGTTAGTTGACTTACAAAGTGAGTTTTATTTAAATATGTAAATGGCAGCCGGAATAGGGGGAATCAGTCTGTGGATGACTTCATTGGAATTACCAACCCTTAAAAGCACTCTCAGAAATGAAGTTAATACAGTGCTTCTTGGGGGAACTGTGGGCATATGTTCCCCATGCACACATCTTTGATCTGGGAAGGATGTCCACAAGATTGACACAAGAATATTTAAAGTTATGCGAACTCGAAGCATAAGTACAATTTCAGGTTGTGGTCCGAGGCTCACGCCGCTCTGTGGGGGGTGGGGGGCACTTATTACCAGAAAAGAGGGCAGTCACCTAACTCAACTGCTAAATCAAACAGCGCATACAGACGTGTTCCCAATGGATCTCTGATAAAATCTCACTGCGGGCCTGTCATTCCTGCAGGTGCGAGTGTTCGTCAACCAGTTGTATCAGCCAAAGTTAGTGCGAGAAATCAGCAAAAACCCGGATCTGCAGGCCATCCGGATCGCCGCGGTGAACCCCATCCTGGACCCCTGGATATACATCCTCCTGCGGAAGACGGTGCTCAGCAAAGCCATGGAGAAGATCAAGTGCCTCTTCTGCCGCATCGGAGGCTCCCGGCGCGACCTCCCGGGCCAGCACTGCTCCGACAGCCGCCGGGCCTCCTCCCCCGCGTCCGGCCACTCGCGTTCCTTCCTGTCCCGGGAGCTGCGGGACGTGAGCAGCACCTCGCAGACCCTCCTCTACCTGCCGGACCTCAGCGACCACGGCCTGGCCGGCGGCGGGAACCTGCTGCCCGGCGTGCCCAGCGCGAGCCTGCCCCCGGCCCGGGCGGACACCACCTCCCTGCGCACCTTGCGCGTCTCGGAGACCTCGGACTCCTCGCAGGGGCAGGACTCGGAGAGCCTGCTGGTGGACGAGGCGGCGGGCAGCGCGGCGCCCAAGTGCAGCGGCCTGCAAGTCCCGTTTCCCAAGGAAACGCCGAACTTATCGGAGAAGTGCATATAGTAGCGAAGGACAGCACTGCTGCGCGGTTTCTGGAAGCTTCTAAAACCCTGTGCAACGGACACACAGTGAAGAGTTGAGCTGTGCGCAGAAGGGCTATTGTTGTCCCGCGACTCGCGGGAGGGACGTCTGGTTTCTGAGCGCTTTACAATCACGTTGATTCGCGCGTCTCCTGTGGCATGAAGCGCATCATCGGTGGCCACCTCCCCGGGGTGGATTTCGGTCACCACTTGATCTCGGAGATCTGCCCTTTGTTTTCTACTTGACAGGAAGCTGGTGGAAGTCTCGCTGTGTTCAGAGAACCAGGCGCTTTCTTCATACCTGACCCGCAGCCCGCAGCAGCCGGCCAGGGTGGGAGGCCTTCAGTCCGGTGACTGTGAGAACTACCTTAGGGATGATTTCGGTGTCTCACTAAAGTATGAAATGTGAATTTTATTGTTGTAAATATGACTTGAGGTATTTAAAGTATTTTCTTCTCTGTGAGAAGGTTTATTGTTAATACAAGGTATAATAAGAGTATGGTAACCCTCTATTCCCAGTATGACTAGCTGAAGTTATAGATTTTTTTCATAAGTTCAGGCCAAGATGTTGAAAATTTAGTGAAACTCACTGTAGAAGGGATACAGATTTTTTAAAAGAAAAACTACAGCTCAAGGAATAAAGAACATACTATTTAAGACATGAAAATTAGTCCAAAACGTTGAAGTTTGTTCCCATGCTACAGATAATACATAGCAGAAAACATTTAGTGCTGACTATATGCATTTACCCAGAAAACTGATTTCTGGAGAGCCTAACATGCTGGCTGGCCAATATTTTCTACTTTTGTCCCCACAAAGTGCTACTTTTTAAAATGTAACATAAATTTTAAAAAGTCTGTCATAAACACCCATCGTGGAACTGTACAATAGAAAAGAAAGACATCTAAGCAGCTTGTGTCCCCCTGAAGTTGTGCACAGTTCTGCTTTCCTAAGAGAGGAGCTGGAATATCCCTGACAACTTCAGAGGAAGACAGACTTGCATGCACCCTAGTGACCTTTCCTTCACGGTGGGAAAGGGTTGGTCGAACTAGCCTTTCACAGATGTTCGCAGAGTCTCACGAGACCAGGGGAGATCAAAGAGACAAAAGAAGACAAGGGGTGCATAACGTGGGCACGCAGGGTCGCCTTCTAACAGTTCCGTCACGCCCTGTGATGCTGTGCACGTATGTGAAGGAAACCTTCTCAAAGAATCATTAAGCATGTTTTGTTGCTTAAAAGTGTTTTTTTGTGAATCGCTTGGTTGTAGTTAAATTCTGAGCCTGATAGTGATACAGTTTAAAGAAGCAGTTGTACCAACTGAAATTATTTTGGAGATTATAACAAATAAATACACTCAGTCTGAGTTCTGTATCCTTGGTTTTGGAGAACGGTGTGATTTCTGTTGGTTTCGGGTTATCTTCTGTATCGTTTTCCATTGGAATTTTCATTAAATTTATTTTGAAGTAATGTCCAATTTAGAGGGAAGTTGCAAGAACAGGACAAAGCCTTGGACCTACTTGGTGGAGGACGGCATTTAGAAACCAAGGTGTAGGTGCGAGGCACACTCAGAATCTCCGGTTTGTCTGGGTGGTGGGAGACAGACACAGTATTACTCCCTGCTTGTAAATTCTCTAGATCCGTGGTCCGCACACTGCAGAAGTGCCAGTGGCCTGGAGACTTGGAAAACGCAGTTTCTGATTCAGCAGGTCTGAGGGCGGGGGTGTACACATTTCTAGGTGCACACCCCCTCCTAGGGGGCGCCGATGAGCAATAATCCCCAGGAGCGAGATCATCGTTTGCTACTGGCAAGTTTTCAAATGCATTTTTGGATGACGTCAGAAAAACAAGACCATCATTTTCACAGACCGGATGGTGCAGTGATTCTCGGCCAAGGCAGGGATGGCTCAGAAAAGGAGCATCTGGCTCCAACTTCTAAAATGTTCTGTTTCACCGATAGAAATAGTTCTAGTTCATCAACTATACCAACCAATGCCTAAGAAATGATGTTTTCAGAGAATATTTTACTTATGGAAGAGGGCCCCCCCCCCATGTACACAAACAGTGAGATAACAACTAGACTCACATATGGATGAACATCTACATACAAGTACATGTTTGTCACCCGTGTCCATGGAGGGAAAACAAAGTCCTCACTCACAAGCCAGCAACACTAACACAATCTCAGGGCATAAAGCCGCTCATCCTCAACTTCAAGCTCACCATCCGGAACACTGGTTCTGGCTTATTCTTTTTAATCGAAACATAACTCACATATTTTTTAATTTGCCTTGTATTTTAATATGTTCACAGAGTGCAACCACCATCACTGCTCTCTAATTCTGGGGCATATTCATTGTCCCCAAAGCAAACCACATACCCATTTGCATTCACTCCCTATTCTCTGCCCCCAGCTGCTGGCAGCCACGGTATGGATTTGCCTATTCTGGACATTAACAGAACCGTGCACCATATTATTTAGGTGGCCTTCACTGTCTGGCTTCTTCCACTTGGCATGTTTCCGAGGTTCATCCACACTGGAGCATGAGTCAGTACTGCATTCCTTTTTATGGCTGAATAATATTTCATGGTATGCATATCCCACATTTGTTTATCCATGCATCCGCTAATGGGCATCTGTGTTGTATCTACATCTTGGCCATTATTAACTATACTGATAGCAGCTTTTGCACACAAGTTTTATGTTAACATGTTCTCGATTCTATATATTTGGAGTGATATTGCTGGGTCATATGGTACCTATATTTAATCTTTTGAGGACCTACCAAACTATTTTTTCCAAGTGGCTGCACCATTTTACCTTCCCACCAGCAAAATACAAGAGTCCCAGTCTCTCCGTGTCCTTGTCAATACTTGTTTTTGTCCATGTTTCTGATTATAGCCATCCTAACAGTATGAAGTGGTCAACTGTAGATTTGATTTGCATTTCCCTACCAACTAATGATGCTGAGAATCCTTTCCTATGCTTATTGGCCAGGAAAAGCGTCTATTCAAATCATTTTAATTGGGTTATATGTCTGTATTAGTTTGCTAGGGCTGCCATAACAGAATACCACAGACTGGGCAACTTAAACAGAACCTTATTTTCTCACAGTTCTGGAAGCTGGATGTCCAAGGTCAAGGTGCTGGCAGACCTGATTCCTGGAATGCGCCCTCCTTCTGGTTTGCAGATGGCCTTCTCTCTGTGTACACACATCCCTGGTGCCCCTCTTCTTGCAGAGACAGTAGGCACATTGGTGTGGGCCCACCTTTCTTGTGGCATGACCTAGAACATCCTTGGTAATTTAAGGATAATTTACCTTTGTCATTTACCCTCAATTATCTCCTGAAAGGCCCTAATAGTCACAATGGGAATTAGACAGTCACCCTATGAATGGGGGTGGGGCACAATTCAGTCCACACAATGTCTTTATTGTTGGGTCTGGATTTTTTGTCTTTCTTTTAGAGTTTGGAGAACATCTGGTTTTTATTTTTATTTTTTTTTTACTGTTTTTTTTTTTTAGAGAGCGAGAGGAACATCAATTTGTCGTTCTACTTATCTATGCATTCACTGGCTGATTCTTGCATGTGCCCTGACTGGGGATTGAACCCACAACCTTGGTGTATCGAGATGACACTGCAACCCACTAAGCTACTCAGCCAAGGAAGGTCTGGTTCATTCTTGAAAGAACAGCCAAAGCAGAAAAACACCGGTATTATTTGCAACCCACACTTACTCTTTCTTCCACATTTATTTATAAGGCTTACCAGCTGCGTTACACACAGATGGTTTTTTGTGGGAACCTTGTTGAAGACCATATAGAGCTTCAAGTTAACGCTGACTGGGGTGAAACCTTACCTTGTCCCAACAGGATATACAGCAGACAAGTAATTCCAACACCATCTCATAATCTCTAAGATGATCTGAACAACCAGGTCAGATATTACAGAAAATATGTTCAGCTAAGACCATGAAGACCGTGGTGTGCAAAAGTCCTTTCTCAAAACACAGCCACCGCTCTCCCAAGTTTCTTACTGGAGCCACAAACAGAAAAGGCCATGGAACAATCCAGGCAAATTTGTACTTACTAGTAGCTACGCCTGGGGCCATAAACCTTAATGTTCAATATTCCTTTGCCCTAAATTACTTGTACTAATTTCAAAACAAAATGAGCCAGGAAGTTTTCTCTCTTCCACTCCTCCCCCGACCACCAAACCCAAGACTAGGGTGCTGCGTTATCATCTCGTTGCTGCTCTCAAGGTACTCCAGAAATGGAACCAGGCAAAAAGAGACTTGTAACAACAGAGAACACTTGACCCTCAAGGGCTACATAGTCAATATACAAAAATCAATTGTATTTCTATGTAATAGCATCAAATTGGAAAAGAAGATTTTAAAAGTACTCCCTGTAACAGCATTAAAGACATGAAATATTTAGGGATAAACAATACGGGCAAGACCCACCCACAGATAACTAAAAAACACGAAGTCAGACCCAAAACAATGACAGTTATGCCACGATCATGGATTCGAAGACACAACATTGTTAAGACAGCAATTCTTCCTGAACTGATTTATAGTGTCAACACAATTCCAATCAAAACCCAGGCAGACTTGCATGTAAATAGAGACAAGTTGATTCTAAAATGTATATGGAAAGGCAAAGAGACTAGAAAAGCAAAACAAGTTTTTTGGGGGGAGGAGTGCAGAGGGAGAGACAAAGTTGGAAAAATCACTGATTTTTAAAACAATTTTTAAGCTAGTAATCAAGACAGTTTGTTACTGGTGTAAGAATGGACATACAGATCGGTGTAACAGAACACAGAGCTCAGACAAACCTTCATGGTGAACTGACGCTCAACAAAGATGCCAAGGTATTCCAACAGGAAAGGACAGCTTCTCCAACGGACAGTGCTCGAATAACTGGACATCAGAAAAAAACCTCCACCTTCACCTCATCGTCACACATAAAGTGAACGTGGAATGGATCACGGACCCAACTGTAAATGATAAAGCTGTAAAACTTCTAGCAGAAAGACAGAAAATCTTTTTCTGATTTTGGAGTACTTTCTCA